GCGAGGCCCCGCGGGAAGAAGGGGAGAGGGGAGAGGGGGGCGAAGCATTCCTCCTCACCGGCCGCATTGCCTCGGCGGCTTGGCAGCCCCCTCCCCGCGATGGAGAAGTACCATGTCCTGGAAATGATCGGCGAAGGCTCCTTTGGGCGCGTGTACAAGGGGCGCCGGAAACACAGCGCCCAGGTGAGGAGAGAAGCGGCAGGGGAGAGGGTTGGGGCTCTTTTGTGTGGCGCTGGAGACTGATTTCTGGTGGGTGTTGGGTTCCAGGTCCTGCTAGGGCTTTGGGACTCAGCACTCATTCATTTTTCTGCTGACATCCCTGGCCAGCTCCTACTGGCATGGAGTCATTCAAATTCAAGGGACCTCAGGAGGTCTCTGGTCCATCCCCCGCTCAAAGCGGAGTCAACACTAAATTCAGATCCTGCAAAACCACAGAGACAAAGACCCCACAGCCAGTGCTTGACTATACTTGGGGTGAATGGGTTTTCCTTATATCAAGTTGAAAGCTCCCCTATTTCAGTTTGTAGTCATCCTCCCACTTCGCATGTCTGTACAGAGCCTGGCTCCATATTCTCTGAAACCTCCTTTTGGGAATCACAAGATTACTATTCAGCTTCCCTAAGGATTTTTTCTCCAGGCTAACCTCAACTTGTACACGTGATTCAGCCTCCTCACCATCCCTGTGGCCTCTGCTATACCCACTCTGGCCTATCGTTGTCTTTGTGGGCCAAAAACAAAAACGAGCCACAGTATTGCCAATGTGGTCTAACAAGTGTCAAGTAAAGGGCAATAATCACTTTGTTCCAACTCCTACCTGTTGATACAGCCCAGGGTGCTGCTAGTGCTCCTCACTGCCAGGGCATGTTGCTGGCTTGTGTTAGGCTTGCTGTTCGCTAGCATCTCTAGCTCCTGTCCCATGCTTGGACTGTTTCTGGCAGTCCTAGCTTTATCTGTGCTCACTGATTACATTTCTTTGCTTTAAACATCAGTGTGCAAAGTACTGTGAGCACCTGTATTGGTGTGCAAGGGCCTGGGGGGAGCCCCAGCTCCAAGGGACCCAGTGAACAAATGCCTTATTCAGTATGCTGAGCTGGAAAAGGCTGAGTCCTGTTTAGGTTAAGTGCAGCATCTGTCTGGGCAGGTAGGAGCCTGGTCTGACCCCAGCTTTACCTGCTTTGAAAGGTGGTGGCCCTGAAGTTCATCCCCAAGGTGGGTCGGTCTGAGAAGGAGCTGAAGAACCTGCAGCGGGAAATTGAGATCATGAGAGGCCTCCATCACCCCAACATCATCCAGATGCTTGACAGCTTTGAGACTGACAAGGAGGTGAACGGCAGATGCTTTTTCTTGACGGGGGCCGTGGGACAAGGGCTGGCTCCTGCTGTCATAGGGACCTTTTTCTCAGGAGATGCTGGTGACACCCTCCCAGGACCTGGTCAGTGTTTTCCAGAGCCCTCCAGCATGTGATGTTTGGGGAGCCAGCACCTATCTGGGCTGTGTGGGGTACACTGGGTCATCTGCAGAGGTGAAGGAGCTGGGTGGGGTGTATGTGGGATGAAGAGGAGTGGTTTAGGATTACAGGATGAGAGTGACTCTTCAATCACCTCATCAGTCTCTGAAGAGACAGACTTTTTGCTGATTTAAACTCTCATGGAGAGAGTGTGATAAGAAAGGATTGAAGACTGTGCTACGTGACATGGGAGAATGAAATAAAGTAATTGGGCAGCAGGTTCAAAACAAGCTCAAGGGAGCGATTTTACCCATTGGGCTTGGAAATACCATTCTGGGCTTGTCCTGTCCTTCCTTCTTTCCTGGTTTCTACTGGCTGTCTGAGATAAGGACAGCCACAAGGCCTCTGCTAAGTGCTGGGCCCTTGCTGCAGTGCAGCCACGAGGGCCCTCTTCCACCCCAGGTCCCAGCCCCAGCTGATGGGCTGTGCATAACAAGACTGCAGCATCTCATCTCCCTCAGATTTCCAACACTGCTCTGTCCCAGTCCACAGGGCATGGTGGTGATGCAGCTGGGTGAGTGCCTGATCTCACTATCTCTTCCCTCCAGGTGGTGGTGGTGACTGACTATGCAGAGGGGGAGCTCTTCCAGATCCTGGAGGACGATGGGAGTTTGCCTGAGGACCAGGTGACTGTTGCGGTGGTGGCCATACACTGTTTCCTGCAGGATGGGGAGAACGGTATTTGTCTGCCTGCAGGCAATGGGTCTCTTCTGTGGGCCAGGCGAAATCAGGAGGGTGAAAGTCCCTCCAGGACTTTACCTGATAGAGCCTCTGAAGGGGGTGGAGAGGAGGCCAAGTTGCACTGGGGGACAGTGGGGTCCAGCAGGGACCTTGGTTTCCCTGTCCCCTCTCCAAGGACCACAGCACCAGGCTACTGCCTGGGCCATCGGCCTCCTCCAAGGAACTGCTGGCCCCTGGCTGGGGCTTGTCCCTGCCCCAAACAGGGCAAGGGCAGAACTGGGGGTACTGGGGGAGCCAGGCCATAAGGGACCCCGTGGTTGTGCTGGCTGGTGGCACTGTGGGGCACAGGGTGAGGCTTCCATGTCTCCGGCAGGTCCAGACCATAGCTGCCCAACTGATCTCTGCTCTCTATTACCTGCACTCCCACCGCATCCTGCACCGTGACATGAAACCCCAGAACATCCTGCTGGGCAAAGACGGCGTTGTCAAACTCTGTGACTTCGGGTGGGTGCTGGGGGCTAGTGTGAGGCTTGGGGCAGCCGAGGGGTGTCCTAAGTGCTCTAGAGGAGAAGGGGGGAGTGTGAAAGAGGACCTGGATTCTGTGCATATTTAGGGGTTGACAGGGATGGAGGATTTTGGACTCCAGAGGGCAGAGGTGTCGGTAAACTTGTAGGGATCTCCTTGGGAACTGCAACAGCTGTTTCAGCCTGGACTGACCATCTGTGCTTTGCTCTGAGTAGGTTTGCCCGTGCCATGAGCATCCACACCATGGTGCTGACCTCCATCAAGGGCACCCCACTGTACATGTCCCCTGAGCTGGTGGAAGAGCGGCCATATGACCACACAGCGGACCTATGGTCAGTGGGCTGCATCCTGTACGAGCTGTTTGTTGGCACTCCTCCCTTCTATACCAGCAGCATCTTCCAGCTCGTCAGCCTCATCGTCAAGGACCCTGTCAAATGGCCGGAGGCCATAAGCCCAGTCTTCAAGGTAAGGGTGAAGGCCCTGTCTGTGGGGTGAGATCTATTAATGCGTTAGCAGCTTTGGCCTCACCTGCTGCCCAGGTGGGTCACTCTTAGGTTTTATGTCCGCTAACAGGGATTTCAGAACACAGAGAAGGGATGAGAGCTTGGCCTGGGAGGGGGGACCCTTATCACTGCTCTCTCTCTCTCTAAGATGGGAAACTGGGGCTGACAGCAGAGGAGTGATTTACTGGGCTGGGAAGGGAAGTGTCTTCCTGTCTCCCCTAAGCACTAGAGCCACTTCTTCCCCAGAGCTAGGCAGGGAACACAGACCTCCTGGGTGCCCTGACTGGAGTAGACTGGTGGGTACACTCTGCTCACTGGTGGGTCCCAGGCATGTGTTGGTGACTCTGGTGCTGTGTTGCACTGTAGAGCTTCCTGCAGGGACTACTAATGAAGGACCCCCGCCAGCGCCTGTCGTGGCCAGAACTGCTTTCTCACCCCTTCATTGCTGGACATGTTACTGGTGAGCACTAGCTATTTTTCCAGTGCTGGGCAGGTGTGTTTCTTCCTCCTACTGCCTGGAGGCTGGAAGGACCACCCTGCCCTGCTTTTTTTACTACCCTGTTCTTTGCCTCCCTCCTCTCAGCTTTCTCCAAGCACTGACCCCTAGCTCCTTCCCCTGGGCTTCCTCTGGGTCCCCTGGGATTCTCCTGGGATCCCAGAGTCGGTCACTCTCTCTGTGTCCCAAGGGAGAGCTGCTGATGAGGTTCTCCCTTTGCCTCCCCAGTGATTGATGACACAGAAGAGCATGGGATCTCAAACCCCTTCACCACCAAGCTGTCCCCAGAGCTGCAGGCCCTGAAGGAGCAGCAAGCCCATTCCCTGGCGCCCAGGAGTGGCCAGTCCAGGATCCTGAGAAAGGCTCGGCAGAAGATGGCTGAGGAGGCACAGAAAAAGGTGGAGGAAAGTGTGGGATTCCCCTGGCTGTGTTCCACAGTCAGGGCAAAGGAGGGGCACTGAAATGGGACCTGGGGGGAAAGATAGAAGGGACATGGGTCAGACTGGGGTGTCAACCACATACAAGGCAGGATGTGGGGTGTTCTGGCTGGTGGGGTCTAGAGGGCTCATCTGTGTGAGTAACCCTGCCCTGACCAAAATTCTCTGCCTAGGGGCAACTGAAGGCAGATGATGCATCTACGAAGGACTCTGGCAAAGGATGCCCAGGGCATAGACCCAGAGCAGCTCTAAGGAAGGCAGCCCTCAGGGAGGGGGAGCCACTGGCTGTCTCCAAAGAGAAGAACCGCAGTGTCTTGCAAGGAAAGAGCAGCATGGCAGAGTGGGAGTTGGAGGAGCCTCCACCCAACCCACGGTGAGGGAGGCGTGGGGTTGGGAGAGGAGGAAGAGGGGAAGGCAGGATAGTTTACCGACTGTGCTGTTGCCTTGGCCAGGGAGCACAGCATCACTCAAGACTATGAGCAGGAGTTTCCTGGAGCAGAGGCCTCTCTGCAGCCTGATGCTGGCAGGGCAGCGCGCTGGGGCAGGCGCAGCATCGAGACTGTGGACCTGGAGAGTGAGGTAGGACAGTGTCTTGTGGTGAGGACAGCAGGGCCCAGGGCAGGCAGGGTCTGTGGCGTCAGCCCTCTCTCTTCCGTGGCTAGGAGCTGGAGAGCGACGAGGAGTGGCAGCACTTGATCGAGGCCACCGAGCCCTCGACCATGCAGCTGAGCACACCACTGAGTCTCCTGAGGGACCCGGCCTTCCTGCACCGTGTCCAGGCCCGTCTGGCAGACTCTGCTCAGCAGGTGAGTGATGGCTGGCTCAGACAACTATGACTGGAGACATGGATGCTGCCTTCTTCCCTGCATTGGGTTGGGAGTGTTGGGAGAGTCCTCAGTCCAGCCAGCGAGGGGATCCTCTGCTTCTCTAGGAGCTGGGGCTGTCTCATGCACTTAGCTTGCCATCTGCTCCCCTGCTGTCCCCGGCCTGAGGAGGTGGAGGGCTGCCCCATGGCTGGTGGAGAGGCCTAAACCACTGCTGATCATGAGCTCTTCTGGCTTCTCTGTGTCCAGGTGCTGGAAGGGATGCTGGAGGGAGCCTCCCGTCTCCGTCCTGTGCTCCGCGTTGTGGGCAACCTCCTGGCTACCCGGTGTGACTCTGAGCTGCTAGACTGCTTCTGCCGAGAGCTGAATGTGCCTCTGTCCCTGCTGCATCTAGCCAAGCAGATCCTGGAGAGTGGTAGCACCAAGCAGGTGGGTCTAAGACCCCAGAGAAATTTGGGCTTCTTCCAGCCCTGCAGAGCGCTGGTGCTGAGGAGGACCTGGTGTCCTGCTGGAGCTGGATCAGCAGACTGGTGCCTCTTCCAGGCCCTCTTGAGAAGGGGGAGGTCCTGGCAGGGAAGAATCCCACCACAGTGGTGTTGGGATGGCCAGCGGACAATCCACATTTGCTGTTTGTTTCTGGATCCTGCAGCAGCCCTGGTGTATCATGGTGCTGACAGACCTTCTCATGGTGACCACAGTTTATTTCAGCAGTGAATGCAGCCTGGAGGAGAGTGGGCAAAAGGACAGGTAGGGACAACCCTCTGTGTTTTGAAGTCTCTTGTGGCCACTGCAGGGACCCAGCAGTAGGAAGGAGGGTGGTGTTCATACTCTGTGGCTGGACCTGTCTCCATTGGGTAGCATCACGGACTAAACGCTTCATGTCGTATCACTGTGCTCACAGAGGAGTGGGACTAAGGGGAAGGCACAGCTGACTAGAGCCCAGTTGTGCTGTCTGCTGGCATGGCTCACAGTGCTAGTGGGTGCTGCCTGCTCCATTAGCCAGGGTCTGGCCAGACCTCACAGCCAGGGCCTGTGTTTCTCTGCTCTCCTCTGCCCCTGCTGCCTCCCCAAGCCTGCAGGCCTTTCGGGAGAGTGCTGGCTGTTTCCTAGCCCTGCTGCCGGAGCTGCTGTCTGAGCCAGCTGACAGCAAGATGAGACTCTGCCAGCAAAGCCTCCTGGTAAGAGTGCCCCTGTCTCTCTTCTCCCCACCCTTTCCCCCAGGGACAGAAGGTGTGGGGCTGGGTGTGCATGTCAGGGGGAGTGCAGGTTGAGAACCCTGCTCCCAGCTGTGGTGTTCAAGGCATTCTTGCCAGGGCAGGCTGTCTCACCCACTGAGGGTTTTGGGGGGATCACATGCAGAAATGAGGTCTCTAAGGGGCATCTTCCCTGGCTGTACCTCCATGTGTAACCCTCTCTCAGCCACCATGCAGCTGCATGTGGTTTCCACACAGTAACCTGGCTGGAGAGAACACTTAGAGGTCGCTGAAGATCCAGCACGAGTCCTTCTTCCATCTCTGTTGTCCCCCCACAGCCTCCTACTCCATTGCCCTTCTCTCTCCTCCCACCCTCGATTTGCAGTGATGGCTCCCCCTGTGTCTCCCCCAGTCCTTCACCCTGCTCTGTGAGACCCTGGATGCGACGTGCCCCTCCATCTCTGCCCCCTTCTATGCCAGCCTGCGAGAGAAGCATCGGCCACTGCTAAATAGACTCCTGCAGGGATCCGTCTCAGAGCAGCCTGCTCTGCAAGGTAGCAGTGGTGGCAGCTCGCCACCTCCTCCTGGGGCTTCCCCTCTTCCTCCTGCCCTTGGGCTCCCTCAGAACGCTGACTGACTTTGCAGTGCTGTTGGCTGGAGGAGGTGGCTGAAGCTTATCTGCCCAAACCCCTGCTAACCAGGAGTCTCCTGTTCTCTCCCTCAATCCCAGATCTCACCCTCCTTGTGTCACAAGCCTGACTTTTCTCTCTTGGCCTCCAACCCCATCTTGCTGCCCCTCAGCATCTCTCACCCTTAGCACATGTCTCCCGAGCTCTGTCCCTGTGCAGGTGCAGCGATGGAGGCCAAGTCAGCCCATGGCGAGAGCCCACGTGTGGCAGACCTCTTCATGGCTGCATTGGCTGCTGCCTGCAGCATCCCCCTGGAGAGGAACGGCTGTCGGGAAGCCAAGCAGCAGGTCAGGCCAGCTGTCTTTGCAGGGCAAGGAGATGTGGTCCCACAGGGACAGCAGCCCTTTGCAGGAGGGTGTCTTTTTCAGCAATAGAGTGGAGGGTTGGGGTCCTCTCGCTTTGATGGCTGCAGGGCTGGTATTTGCAGGCTGCTCCTTCCCAGCCAACAGCTGAGCTTCAGGAGTCTAATGACTTCTAAGTCAATTAAGAGACGCACACTTAGGATCTGAACTGTGGGGCAGGCTAAGTAAAGAACTAGAAAATGCAGAAAAAACATGAAGAATTCTTATATGACAGTGATATGAACTGTAGGAAGACTGAAGTTGAATGGACAATAAATAAGAGGGAAAAAACCCTACAGATTTACATTTGATCCTTTAACTCAATTCTGAGTCAACAAGGAGAGAAGCAGAGGAGCAATCTCACCTTGCTCATCTCGGCTCTGGGACTGTGCATCAAAGCCATGCTGGGTCATGGCAGATGAGCATCCCTTTATGAACACAACATGTAGGAAGATGCATAAAAATCCCTTCTTTTATGAATTTGTTACTAGCATTAAATTCTGTAAATCTGTGCAGTGCTTCAAGTGCCCAGGGTGTAAAACAGGCTGATTTCTGCAGGTCGCTCAGGAGGTAGCTGAAAAGCTTATGGAAGGAGAGAGCCAGCAGCTTGGGAGGCTGCTGGAGAGGCTGGAGCACCCAAGCTGCTCCTTGAATGTGCTCAAGGTAATAGCCCCATCCATTTATCTGGCTGCCCCTAGAGGTGCCTGGACCTTTGGTCTGGGGTTAGGAGCATGGGGAAGGGAGAACCATGGGCTCGGCCCTCAATGACTCCCATCTCCCTGGTGTTAGCTGTTGAATATATAAGCCCATGGTAGCCACGGGGTGTGACTGGGATGGGCCTGGTCACCGTGTCCCTGTCCCCAGGGGCTGGTATGCATCTCTCCCCTCTGTCTCACAGATCCTCTATGCTGGCTGCCATGCCAGCCTGAGTCTGTGCGAGCACCTGGGAAAGAGCCAGCGACTGTGGGGTTCCCTCATGCAGCTCTCAAAGGGCAAGGTAGGCCTGACTGCAGCCCCGGTGGTGGGTTAGGAATGTGGGCAAGCAGGACACATTCCTCTGAGTGTTGCTTAGACCAAGCTGAGGGAGATGCAGGGAGAAGAGTTTGGGGGAGCTTAGTCTGGAGAGTGCAGTTCTCCAGGGCCCAGAAATATCCCTTCCTCCCCTCCCAGCCTTGCTGTCCCCCTGTGACTCCTGCTTCTTTGGCAGGTCCCCGTGGCGGAGGTGGCCCAGGGGGCAGCCTGTGAGGCGGCTCTGTACCTACTGGGCCTGCTTACTCTGCAGCTCCAGGCTTCCCCTCCCAGGTAAGCACCCGCTTTCGCTCATGGGTGGGAAAGGAACGTGCCCTGCCTCAAACAGCCCTCTGCCCTGCATTCTGCCCAGAGTTGGGCTTCTGCTCCTGCTGATCTGTCCAATCCAGACACATCAGCAGAGTGCTCGGCAGCGTGGGTGGGTGCTGGGGATGTGGTGAGGACCCAGTGTGGACAAGGAGGTGCTGTGTATGGTGCCTCGCTCCTCCTGCAAAGTGGCTGGTTCCCAACCCTCGGGGTATTTGGATGCTGGTGCTGTGTGGGATGTGAAGCTGTGGAAACACAGTGCCTCTCTCCTGGTCCCTGTGTTTCAGGCTTGAGGAGGTGGTTACCCTGGCCATGGATCTCATCACCCAGTCTCCTGTCGTCTCCCTTGTGGTAAGTCTGCCCACCCTGCCAGAGCTGACACTGAGAGCCCTGCACGGCCTCATGTCCCCTTTGTGTCCTACTGTTGCTTGCTCAGGGTGGGACGGGGGCAGGCGCAGCCTAGTTGTCCCTGTTCTGGGCGAAGAGATGAAGGGTCAGAGCTGAGTGGGCAAATGGGAAAGTCCCAAAGGTGCTGAGCTCTCCCTGCTCCCACAGGGTGCTGCAGCATTCCTCCTGACACAGCTCAGTCAGCATGGGGTGACTTTGGAACTTGGGGGAGAAGAGATCCTACCAGTGGTGACAAATGCACTGACAACACCTGCTGAGGTATGGTGTGGGTACAGAGGAGCAGGGGAGCCATGCTGTCACCCCACCGTGGAGGTGTGCAAAGATGGGCTCAGAAGGATGCAGGTGTGGTCCTGCTGCCCTCAGATGCTGCACAGAGCTCCAGCCTGTCCCCCACTCTCTCTTACAGCTGCATCTCCCCCCGCCAATGGGTGCTGGTCTCTATGATGGGATCTTTTTCCTCCTGCTGAGGCTCCTTGCCCAGGTACCAGCCTGCCTATCTCCCTTTGCCTGATCCCTGCCAAAAGGTGTGGGGACGAAAAGGCACAAATGTAGATCAGAGGCTGAGGCAAAACAGGGAACCAGTGAGCTTTGGCTGAGCTGTGCAACCCCATGAAAGTCACCTAATGTCCCTGGGTTTTCTGTGGAGCTCTGGAGGGTTGGTGGGAAGGTGGTCAGCAGGGAGGAGAGTAATTCATGGGCACTTTGGAGTGAGAGAGGGCAGACACGCCCGGGGACTGGCACTGTCAGCAAGCGCAGCAGGGCTGCCAGCTGCCTGGCTTCCTCTCCTCCCTGTGGGTCACATCCATCGAGCCCTGACCTCCCCAGGACCATGGGGCTGGCAGGGACGTGGACCAGAACCCTGGGGAGCCATGGGCAACCAGGATGTCCCCCAACACCTGTGTTGCCATCTTCAGGAGGATGTGGCTGTGGAGCAGGGCTGTGCTGCCTCAGAGCTCATTGTGTTGCTGCGGTGCTTCGCGTGGGCAATGACAGGGCAGTGCTGGAGGGAGACACCCCAGGGGCAGACCACCCCACGGCAGAACCAGACTGGAACCTCCTCTCCCCTCAAGGTAGGAGCTGCAGGGCAGCTGCCCTGGACCCTGCTCCACATCCTGCCCTCAGACTTGCCCATGCCTGTACCTGTCAGCATCTGATCTCTCAGGCCAGAGGGCTCGAGGGGCTTTTCTTGAGGATTGCTGTTGTCCTCTGGGGAGAGAGGGCTGGGCTGGCCCTTGCTGTACCCAGTCGGCAGCAGCCCAGCTGAGCTGGCTGTGGAGGAACAATAAAAGGTGTCTCTGCTGGAGGGGAACATTCACCCTGGCAGATGTGACCACCGTGGGTGGAGAATGGTCTGGTTTTAGGCAGGGAAGCACAGAAGCAACCCTAGAACAGCCTTGAGGCAGTACCGGCAGAGAGAAGAGAGGAGACTTTTCAGCCTTCCCTAGCTTTGCCCCTCTGCTGCGCTGTTCCCCTTGCAGGCACCCTGCTCTTCCTCAGCCTGGCCCTCTTCGTCTTCACTCGTGAGTCCCACCAGTGCCTACCTCAGCTTGCTCAATCCCACGGTGTCCTCATGGTGACGCTGAAGAGGCTGCTGTCCCTTGGCTTCCTGGCATGCCTGGCACAGATGTGAGTTGCGGGGAGGGCTGAAGCAGGCAAAGCTCAGCTCCTGAACGGGGCTTGGACACAAGCATGCAAAGGGCCGAGAAGTGCCTGACCTGGCGCTTGGAGGGCACAGCTCACCTGCAGAGCCTGTCCTTAGTGCCTGGTGTGGGGAATGCTCTCTGCCTCTTGCCTTGATGTGTTTTTTTGGTCACCTCTGTATTAAGCCCTCTCTCTCTAACAATTCAGGCAAGCAGGAGAGGACGGGGACCCTGAGCTTGTCCCAGCTGTGGTGATCCAGGCCTGCCAGCTCTTCTGTTTCCCTTTTGCCCTGGATGTGGATGGAGACACCTTGGCATTGGTCATGGAGGCTGTGAGAGATGCCCAGATCCCTGCCCAGCTGCTGCAGGTACCCTCTTGGCCCTGTGTTCCTCTTCCACCCCATACTGTGGAGACACCTGCCCACATTGCAGCCGCCAGTGCGTGGCACCACCTCACACCATGCTGGTGATTTCTGCCCACGCAGGGACGTCACTCGGGTACCATGCAACCCCCAGAGCGGCTTGGCTTGCAGCTGAGCTCTGCACTGACCTGCCAGCAGACCTCAGCCACTGCTTGACTCAGCCCACATATGAGGACAGCACACTCAGTGCCGCTCTCTCTCCTTTCTCCTTAGGTCTGCTCTCACCATCTGCCCTTCTCATACACCGAGCTCCCCATGAGCCTCTTGTGCCACCTCGTTGTGTCTGATGAGCAGGTCATAGACCAAATGGTGAGGACAGCCACTGCCTCGGAGCACATCATTGTCTTCTTGTCATCGGCCTTGTTTTCAGACAGCCTCACGCTTACAACTGACCTCTTGTCTCTCTTGACCCACGTGGCTCGGGTCTGTCCGGAGCACCTGCCCTTTCTCCAGAGGATCCTGAGGGGCTCAGATGTGGCTGACCAGCCGCTGACCCGCCTGCTTGGCCACCAGCAGCACCTGATACGGGCCAAAACCTGCAACCTTCTGGGCAACCTGCTCCGACACGGCCACAGTTTTCCCCAGGTGCTGCAGAGCCAGCCGGGCTGGCTGGAGGGGCTGCTGGGGTGC